TGAGTTTGCTTATCACTCAAGTATTGATATGGCTCAATTTGAGGCATTATATGGTACGAGGTGTAGATCTCCTATACGATGGTTTGAGGTGGGTGAAGTTTCCCTAATAGGTCCCTAGGTTGTACATGAGGCCATAGAGAAAGTTCAACTTATTAGGGAAAGGGTGAGAACGGCTAAAAGTGGACAAAAGTCATATGCCGATGTAAGAAGAAGGAATTTTAAATTTGATGTGCATGATTAGATTTACTTGAAAATTTCACCCATGAATGGTGTAATGTGTTTTTGTAAGAAAGGGAAGATTAGTCCTTGATATATAAGCCCATATCATATTTTGAGACGCGTTGGTAAGGTTGCTTATGAGCTAGATTTGCCAAATGAGTTGCCATCAGTGCATCCAGTTTTCCATGTCTCTATGTTAAATAAATGTTTTGGTTATCCAACATCCATAGTTCCATTAGAAGGTTCGGGAGTTAAAGAGAATCTTTCTTATGAAGAAATTCCGATCGAAATTTTAGACCGCCAAGTCAAGAAGTTCAGGAATAAAGAAGTAGCTTCCATGAAAATGTTGTGGAGGAATCAGTTAGTTAAGGGTGCTACTTGGGAGGCTGAGGTCGATATGATGTCCAGATATCCTCATCTCATTCCTTTTACTCCTCCTCTAGCTTGAGGTAATGAGTTTCTCATGGTTTTTTCATTTTTGGAGTCATGTGTCTTGTATGTTTCCATGATTTCCTTACTATGCATGATTTATGAAAGGTTCATGTTTTGAGAAAATGAGTCAATTTGATTGATTTCTACATGTTTATATGCACATGAGTATGAATTGCATGTAGACTACTTGATATGATGCGGTGAGCATGCCTTTAGCTTAGAGTTGATATGTATTCCTTGAATATATGCATTTGAGTATTTTTTTTATCTTAGAGTTGATGTTCCCTCCTCGAATGTTAGCTTGGAGATGATGTTTTCTCCTCGGATAAGTTCATTGCATGCATGATGGGCAGTTAGATTTAGTTTCACCCCTCTTATAATGTTTTGATTACGTCTTAGCTTGGAGTCGATACTTCCGCTTGGTTATATACATTGCATTGATGGTTGGGTGGTTAGTTCTTCTTCTACTCTCTTCGTACTAGCTTGAATCTCCTTCAAGGAAGAATGATCCCAAGGGGGAGATATTGTAACACCTCGGATTCAAAAAGGGTAATAAGGCAAGTTTCAGAGATTTCAGTTATCAGCCACGAGGGCCAACCACGGCCCATGTATGGGATCACGAACCATCGGTATGGCTCGTGAACTGGGTGATGAGTTTGAGATTTTGACTCATTTACGGCTTTTTTTTGATAGTTTAAGTGTCCTCAAATGTCTAATTTATACTCTAAACTGATGTTAAAGTGTTGATTTGCAGCTATGAAGGCTAAGGAGCAAGGCAAAGACAATATCGGGCAAAGAAACGAACAACAAAACTAAAGATCGCCAACCTCACTCAACGATCCACCTAGTGGCCTCCTCACTCACCAAAAGTTACAGTATATCATTCCTCATATGAGAGAAATTGGGCGAAGGAAAATCCCTATCGGTGACTCGCCGATTGGATCGGCGAAGAGAAGTTAGACCACTGATTCTTACAGAACAATTAATGATGATGCAAGCAACACGGCGATCCAAGAGGGAAAACGGCTCATCGTGGAATCCATTGGGCGATCTGATATAGACCGCCTAAAGTCACAGTGTGCAGAGGATGAATACTCAAGACAAGAAGGTGATGGACATGAGCGATTGGTGACTCACCGATGAGTTGGCGAAGCATGACTTACCTCCCCGAATTACCCCAAAGGCCAAATTTTGGAAAGATATAAATTGATTTTTGAAATTTGAGAAGGCATCCAATCATTGCGAAAACTCAGTCTTAGAACGAAAGAACTATTGTTATTAATTTTGAAGCATTTTTCAAGTAGATTTTGAATTGGGTTTTGTAATTGAAGCTACGTTGAATCATTTTAAAGGTTTGGAAATTAATACCCTGCCATGGAGAATGTTGTAGGTATTGAATTCTTACTTTTTATGATGACTAGCTAAAACCTCCATTCTTGGAGGTATGACCATATGATTAATTGTCCAATTTAGTCGATGGGTGTTAGTGATTATTGAGTTTATTACTTTTTTGAAGTGGGTTTGATCTATAGCTATTATTAAATTGATAAATTGGAATGTTTATTTCAATTGCACTTAGTGTTTTATGCTTGCTTGAGAGAGAGGTGTAAAGCCATGGTTATAAATTAGCATTTGTAAATATTGGGTTGTTGTGGGTTCAGCTTGAGAAAGTGAATTCTAAGTTCAATTCTACCCATCTAGCTCTAGAGAGTAGATAAAATGAGGTATTGGATTGTTTATCATGTTAAGCTTGTTGAGGTTCGAGAGAACTCACTTGAACCGTAATAGTTGTTAGAGAGAAAACTATTACAGCTGTGGTCCAGCCTACCCACTAAGATCGAGAAACCCTTAGTTATCATGGGAGAGGGGGGGCAACCAAGTGGTTAGTAGGGATATCGAGGGACTCCATTTTATCATGGGAGGAGCTTACCGAGGCATTCTACATAAGGTTCTTTCCACCCTCAAATGGTAAAATTATGTGACAACATCCAAAACTTCAAGCGAGTAGAAGAGGAACCGATTCATGAAACTTGGCCGAGGTTTCAAAAGTTGCTATTACATTGTCCTACTCATGGGCTTTCGAGTGATGTGATACTTCAATATATCTACCGGAGTTAAGAATCAGTGAACAAAGGAGTAGCCGACCAGCTGGCTCTGAGAGGAATAATGTTACAATCATTTGAGGTAGCCTCGTCCCTTCTTAATGAAATGAGAAAGATCAATTAGGCATGGTACACTCAAGAGGACCAAGTTTCTCCCTTAAACTTTAGGATGACAAAAGAGCAACTTGACAAGGAGAAAGAGAGGGACGACAATATTAGCAACATGATGTCCCAAATGGATTTGTTACAAAAACAAGTGCTAGAGAAGGTTGGTGAAACCAAAGAAGTCAGAAGAGTGTTTAGACTTGAGGAGGGTTCTCACCCGAGCTACTTAAAGGAGTGTGGGAATAAGGTTGGAAATTGCATAAAGAAGAAGTGCGGAGATGATACAATAAAGATTGGACTGAACATAATGATTCTTGGAGGAAAGAAGAGAGTCATGAAGAGTACCACACATAACCAAGTGACATTCGAGATCAAAGGGTAGTTCGGGTAACCCACGACTGGATGAATTATTGTCACGTATACTAGACAAGGTTGAAGGATCTAATGACATGCTTAAGGAGATGAAAATTGATTTCTCATCATTGAATAATAGAGTGAATTCTCACGCATATGCAATCAAAAAACCTGAGGGTCAACTGAGTCAACTTTCAGCACAAATGGAACCTAAGGTATTTTCAAGGGGTGAGGCTGAGTGTGCAACAACTCTGAGGGCTTATGGTGACAAATATTTGGCGGTTGTAACTCGAAGTGGAAATAGCGGTTGGTAATGTGAGGGATAATAATAGGATGAATGCTCACGAAGAAGAGAACGATATTAATGAGGAAGAGAAGTTCGTTCAACCACTGGGGAGTGATATGCTCAAAGAGAAGGAGTACAATCCTAAGCAAAGCCCCACATGTGAGTTATAAAAAGATAAAGAAAAGGCTACCTCAACTCCAAAGATAGTGCAACCTCTACACAAAATAGTTCCTCCATTTCCTCTCTGTCTTAAAAATAAAAATGAGGATTAAAAGTTCAGAAGATTCTTATCCTTGTTCAACACACTTTCTATAAATCTTTCATTAGTGGAAGCATTATGGGAGATGCCAGGATATGCAAAATTCATGAAGGAGTTGGTCACCAAGAAGAGAAGCATGGACTTCAAAACAATCAAAGTTTCTCATAATTGTAGTGCCATCATGACTACTGAGATTATTACAAAGAAAGCGGATCTTGGGGCTTTCACTATCCCATGCACCATTGGTGTGCTTCAATTTGCTAAAACTTTGTGTGATTTTGGGGCAATTATAAATTTGATGCGCTACACAATCTTTAAAAAACTTGGGCTGGGTGAACCAAAATCCACAACAATGCGGCTTCTTATGGTGGACCGGTCGATCAAACACTATGTTGGAATACTATATGACATATTGATGAAGGTTGATTAATTGATCTTTACGGCTTATTTTGTTATTCTTGACTGTGAGTTTTATGGTGAAGTTCCTATTATTTTGGGTAGACCATTTTTGGCAACCGAAAGAGCTCTAATGGATGTTCAAAGTGGGAAGTTGATATTCCAGGTAAATGAAGATGAGGTTACCTTTAATGTGTGCAAATCAATGAAGCAACCTAGTAATATTCATGTAGTCTCAATGATTGATGTGATTTATGAAGCGGTGTCTAGTGTGAGCGAAATAATGTGTAGGGTTGAGCCTCTTGAGGCTGTTCTTTCGAATTATGATGAAACCGAAGTTAAAGGATATGATGAAGTGGTCGCTGACCTATCGGGATTAGATGGATACTCAAGAAACCCATTCAAGCTAGACATTGATCTAAAGAATCAAGAGAGTCCTCCCGCTAAACCATCCACAAAGGAACCACCAAAGCTTGAGTTGAAAGTTCTCCCCGCTCATCTTCGGTATGCATTCTTGGGGGAAAATAATACCTTGTACGTTATCATTGCAGCTGACGTGCTTGAATGGCAAGTGGAATTGCTTCTTGAGGTGTTGAAAAGATACATTAAAGCCATTAGATGGACTATCGCTGATATTGTAGGTATTCCATCCGGAATTTGCACAAACAAAATCTAGTTGGATAGCGAGTGCAAACCAAGTGTTGAGTATCAAAGATAACTAAACCCACCTATGCAAGAGGTGATGAAGAAATATAGCATTTAATGGCTAGACGGAGGTGTAGTATATCCTATTGCGGATAGCAAATGGGTGAGCCCAGTGCAATGCGTACCCAAAAGGGGAGGCATCATGGTGGTCCCGAATGAAAAAGGAGAACTTATCCCTATGAGGCCGATCACCGATTGGAGAGTATGCATGGATTATCGAAAGCTCAACTCTTGGATCGAGAAAGATCATTTTCCAATGTCGTTTACGGGTCAAATGCTTAATCGACTTGCAGGGTGTGGATGGTACTGTTTCTTGGATGGCTACTTTGGGTACAACCAAATCTCTATTGCACTAGAAGACCAAGAGAAAACCACTTTTACAAGACCCTACGGGACTTTCACCTTCAAGAGGATTCCATTTGGATTATGCAATGCTCTAGCGACATTTCAATGGTGCTTGCTTTCGATTTTCGCTGATATGGTGGAAGATTCAATTGAAGTGTTCATGGATAACTTTTCAGTTGTAGGTGACTCATTTGAGACATGTTTGGCTCATCTTGGGCGGGTCCTTCAAAGGTGTGTATAAACCAACTTGGTCCTTAATTGGGAAAAATTCCATTTCATAGTCAAAGAAGGCACAGTCCTAGGTCACAAAGTGTCATAGAAGGGACTGCAGGTTGAAAAATCAAAGATCAAGGTTATTGAGAAGTTACCACCACCTATATGTGTTAAAGGCATTCAAAGGTTTTTGGGGCATGCAGGGTTCTATAGAAGATTTATCAAGGATTTTTCAAAAATTGCACACCCATTGTGTAAGCTATTGGAGAAAGAGGCGAAGTTTCTTTTTGATGATGCTTGCTCAAAAGCTTTTGAGTGTTATAATCTCTACCCCAGTGATCATTAGCCCGGATTGGTCCGAACCATTTGAAGTGATATGTGATACAAATGGTACCTCTCTAGGAGTCGTGTTAGGGCAAAAGCGCAACATGCTCTTTCATCCAATTTATTAAGCCAACAAAACGCTAAATGGAGCATAACATAACTACACAGTTACTGAACAAGAACTATTAGCTGTAGTTTATGCATTTGAGAAGTTCAGGGAATACTTGTTGGGTACTAATGTGATGGTTCATACTGATCATGCAGCATTACGGTATTTAATGGCAAAGAAAGAGGCTAAACCGAGGTTGATCAGGTGGGTCTTGTTGTTGCAATAGTTTGATTTTGAAGTAAAAGATCGAAATGGGTGTGAAAATCAAGCGACATCATTTATCACGGTTAGAAACCAATGTGACCAACCCCAAGGAAACGGATATTATGGCTGAGTTCCCAGACGAAACAGTGATAAGGCTAACTCAAAGCAACATCCCTTGGTATGTTTATCTTCCTAACCATATGGTATGTGGAATTATGCCGGAGGATTTGAACTCTTATATGCAGAAGAGGTTTTTGTTTGATATAAAGAAATACTTTTGGGATGAACCATATATGTTTCGAGAATGTGCAGATTACTTCATTTGTCGATGTGTATCGAAAGAAGAAGTCAATGCCCTTCATAATGCGTGCCACACATCACATGTCGGTGGACATCACAGTGGGGTGCGGACAGCAGCAAAAGTGCTTCACAGTGGTTACTATTGGCCATCTCTATACCGAAATGCGCATGACTTTGTGAAACAATGCATCCATTTCCAAAAACAAGGTGGGGTATCAAGAAAGCATGAATTGCCTCTCAATCCTCTCTTAGAAGTGGAGTTGTTTGTGTAACACCTCGTAGTTTAGTAGGTCATCTATGGTTATGTTGAAGGCTACTGGTCAAGACTAGAGGGCATGAACTAAGGCAAAGGGCCAAGGTTCAAGGCTTCCCCAAGCTTGCCATGGCACTGTCTTGGACCACGAGAGACTTCACGGCTCGTGGTGGCCATCACAGCTCGTGAGGCCACCTGTGGTGGTGAGGTAGTGAGCCCCTCAAGGCTGCCAAAGTTGCCCCCCTCCACACGAGCCACTTCACGGTCTGTGAAGGCCTAGATGTCTCGTGGGAGTGGCCATGGACATGCTTTCACCTCTTGGAAACCAAGACCTCAATACATAGCCATGGACCACTCCCAGTGGTCTTGACCACGGCTTATGATCCCTGTCGTGGTGTCTGGCACCTTGTAGCTTGCAAGTATTTATAATCAAGGTATGTTAGCTTATTCATCCATGGATTCTTCCATTCATGGAGTCCCCTAGAATTCCCCAATTTAAGTTAGGGTTTCTTCAATATTGTGGGTTATGATAGATGTTGATCCAATTGAGTGATTATTGATTGTTTATGATTGAGTTAGAAGTGAATCATGATATTAAGATGAAATTACATGTTTTCTATGGCTAACCCTAGTCTAATTGATGAAATTGAAGTAATGTGGGTTTATGCCTTGTGAAGGGAAATTGAGGATTGATAGATGATTTTCTAGAATTGGTGATATGTATAGTAATTGTTCAAGAATAGAAGCATGTGAACATGAATTGAATTAGAATGTAGTACATGTGATGGATCATGACTAGTAATGATTAAGGTTGAGCCTTTATGATGATATATGACTAGAATTGCTTAAGAATGAAGCATGTGACTAGAATGTCTCGTGATCTAGATAAGTATGGTGATTGTAAGAAGTAAAGCTTTAAGAGTAAGGCTTGTAGTCATGAATGTTGATCACTATGGGCTTTGATAGTAAGGCTTGAAGTCATGAATGTAGATCACTAGGGCTTTGGGAGTAAGGCTAATATAATGAAGTATGTATGTTAATACTTAAAGAGTGAAGCTTGTATGATCTTGGTAGACTACTAGTAGAGTTTTTGTGGACGGACATTACCCACATTACCTATATTATGAAAGTATGAGATTATGCATGTTCCTGTAGAACCTATGTGAATGCTTTATGAACACTTGAGAATGAAGTGTCTACAATTATGATATATAGTCTGTTGGTTGAAAGGTTATTCTCATGAACACATAATGAACATTATGTGAAAGGTTTTCTCGCATAGAATGATTCTAGGTTGAAAGGTTTACTCAACTAAAATGAATCAAAGCATGTTAGAGAAGAATAACTTGAAGTTGTGATATAAGATCCCTTCATGTATAGCTTGACTTGGTATGGTAAGACCATTTCATGGTAGCCTAGGATTGAGGAATCATACTCTCCTAAGGGTAGCTTGACCTAGCATTATAGAGTGCCTTCATGGTAGTTTGAGTTAGTAGATCTCATGGTAGCGTAGGATTGAGGAATCATACTCTCCTAAGGGTAGCTTGAACTAACATGATAGAATGCCTTCATGGTAGCATGACTTAGTTAGGCCAAGACCATTTCATGGTAGCTTTAAATTGAGGAATCATACTCTCCGAAGGGTAGCTTGCACTAGCATCATAGAATGATTGCATGGTAGCATGAGTTAGGTGGGCCAAGCCTATTGCATGGTAGCGAGGATAGAGCAATTGTACCCTTCCTTGTATAGCTTGGACTTGTATGATAGTATGATCTCCATGGTAGCTTCTCTTAGCATAATTTAGTTATGTTAGCTAGATGATTAACTTGGTCTATCCTAGTAGGGTGCTATTCCTTGGTAGCCTTGAATTGATAACTTGTGATCATTCATGTGTGATGACTTTCCTTATACTAAGAAGAGAAGTACCTCAAATAAATAGAGGCAAATAGTAAGTAGGGACTAGTCCCCAACTAATGAGTTAGTATGATAGCCTAAAGTGGTACTTAGTGTGGGTAGGATTATGGGGTCTTATCCATGCATTGCACAAGTATGACTTGAATCTAATTATTAATTAATATCTTATATGTTGTATGATTAGCTTGGATTGTTGGTATAATTGCCTTCCATGATATGTTGACTAAAGGTGATAGTTCCCTTGTCTATATGAAGTAAGCTAAGGATGAGATCAAAGGATGGTAAGTATGATTATGATGACCTAAAAGTAATATTGAGTGTGAATGGGATTATTGGGTCTTATTATTGCATTTCACAAGTATAATTTAAAGTTACTTATGAAATGGTTCTCTTATGATATGAAGGTCTAATTAGTGACCATGTTATGAATATGTGGTATCTCCTATGCTATTGGATTATGCCTTATGTTGATATATGCTCATGTTATGACTATGTTGGAGATTATGCTTATGAATATGTTATTTTTTCTTATGCTTATGGCTTATGTCTTATGTTGGCTAACCCTTATGTTATGTTCTTATGAAGTTATGCTAGCTAACATATTTAGTATATTTTGTACTAATGCGTACTATTGCCTATATTCTTATCAAATGTAGGGTCTGGCGATCTTGAGTGCCATTCTTGAGGCTAGGTTTCTAGTAAAGCAAAGGAGTTGAAGACTTGGTGAGTCCTCATAGCATCGAGGATGTGATCACCTTTCTCTTATGTCTTTCTTTTATATATTAGACACGTGTATAGGCTGCGTCCTAAAGTTTTATTCAAATTTTAGTTTAGATGGTTTGAGACAAAGTTTTGTAGACTTTCGCTTGCTTTTATAAAGACTTCGACTGTAAAGAAAAGTTTGAAAATTTCTGCATCATTTCTATTGTTTTATGTTATGATATGCTAAGTGGCTTGTGTTTGGCTTTTAGCGATCTAGTACGCCTTGTCACATCTAGGTTGTACCTCTGGGTTGTGACAGTTTGATGTTTGGGGTATAGATTTCATAGGGTCGTTTGTGAGTTCTTTCAGTCAGAAGTATATTTTGGTGGCAGTTGATTACGTGTAAAAGTGGGTCGAAGTAGTAGCCTTGCCCAACAATAAGGGCAAGAGTGTGGTGAAATTCTTGAAGCGATATATTTTTGCACGATTCGGCACCCCAAGAGCTATCATCAGTGATGGGGGATCTCAGTTTTGCAACTGTATGTTCTCCTCGTTGTTAAGCAAATATGGTGTAAAACACAAAGTTGCAACGCCATACCATCCGCAAACAAGCGGTCAAGTGGAAGTTTCAAACCGGAAAATTAAAAGCTGTTTAACAAAAATGGTGAATGTAAATCGGACGGATTGGTCTCGTAAATTTGATGATGCTCTATGGGCATATCAGACTGCGTTGAAAACACCAATTGGTATGTCACCATACCAGCTAGTGTTCAGAAAATCTTGTCATCTACCAATTTAGCTTGACCACAAAGCTTTATGGGCATTGAAGATGCTAAACCTGAATTGGGAAAAGGCTACAAAAGGGAGAGTAAACCAACTCCACGAATTGGAGGAATTCTGGTTGAGAACATATGAAAGTTCAGCCTTGTATAAGGAGAAGATAAAGAGTTGGCACGACACCAAAATCCTTCAGCATGAATTCCAAGTCAGAGACTTTGTGTTGATCTTCAATTCTCGGTTGAGACTCTTTCCCGGTAAACTTAAGTCAAAGTGGTCAGGTCCATTTAAGGTAACCCAAGTGTTCACAAACGGGGCAATTGAAATTGAAGGAAAAGAGGGCTCAACTTTCACAGTGAATGGGCAGCGCCTAAAACTATATTTTGGAGAGTATCATGATATTTTGGTAATCGAAGTGGTGTATTTGGAAGATGCTTTAAAGAATTTCCATGTCGTGCCACGACGTTTAATAAGGTGTTTCTTGGGAGGCAGCCCAAGCGTTAGTTGTTTTGAATAATGTGTGCTAATTGTGCAGGCATAGGTGATTTTGCAATGGCATGACCATTTCGGTAGGCCGCCGAGTGGAGTCCACGATCCCGACTTGGCTTGCCTTCTAGGCATCGAAGGTAGACTAGAGATTCTTGAATATTTGGTGAAGTATCCAGACCACTCGGTGATGCGCCAAAGAGATTGGGTGAACCCGACTTTCACTGCCCTTTGCATCATCCAGAAGGGTCGGTAATCTAGAAATTTTGGTGACAATTTATGAACATTAGACGATGCGCCGATGCTATTTGACGTACCCGATCTTGATAGACTTTCGGTCCCAACTGGAGTGGTAACGTTCTCGATATTTCAGCGGACTGCATGCAATTAGGCGGTAAGTCGAAGGGTTCGGCTTATCCCCATGACTTCGCCAACTGGCCCGTAGTGAAGAATCCTCATAACCCTATTCTTGTCGTTTAGTGCTATCGTTTCTCTATTTTTATTTCGTGCTCGTTAATTTTTACATTTAGGACAATGTTGGTTGTTTTTGGTGGGGTAGGGACTTTATTAGGAATACCACATCTGGATA